TACGTGTTTCAGCATTAATTCTTTCCATGTCGGTATTAAATGTGACATCATCAGCCATTTTATTACGGATCTTTGTTTCATTTAACAAGATTTCCTTGTTGATTTGACACAGTTGTGTTTTGATTTCCTCGATTACAAGAAGCATGTAATTAAACGAGTTTTGTGTAGATATCGCGCACCATCTATCGCAGAATTCTCTATTCTGTCTACCTATAGTGGGCTGGTTTCGTATCCTGAATCCTCTAGGGATTTTTTTAGCTCTATAATATTCAGAGAGGGTGAATCCGTGTAATTCCAGGTCCACATGTTTTTTCTTTAGTTTCTTTAGGTCTCTGAAAAGATCAGTTGCAGAATCTGAGCCAAATGCTGCGATAGAGTTAGCAGGGAATAGTATGGTATCGATTTCATGTTTATTGAATGCACAACTGTAGGTAGTATCCTCCAGGAATAACACAGGCACACAAGCTCCACCCCCGTCTCCACTTCCCCTCCATGCTGCTGTCTCTGTACATAGACATAACACATCGGGAATAACCCAGACGCACCAACTCCACCCCCCGTCTCCACTGTCCCCCTATGCTGCTGTCTCTGGACATAGACATAACACAGGCGCACAAGCTCCACCCCCCGTCTCCACTTCCCCTCCATGCTGCTGTCTCTGGACTTAGACATAACACGTGGGGAATAACACAGGCACACAAGCTCCACCCCCCGTCTCCACTTCCCCTCCATGCTACTGTCTCTGGACATAGACATAACACATCGGGAAAAACACTGGCAAATTAGCCCCACCCTCCACCTCCATGCCCCTACAAGCCTCTGCAACTCAATGGAAGGAGAGAAGAGTAGGAAGTATCCCGACAATATTGTCAGGATCACTTCTCAGCACAGAGCTGAGCCACGCCTACAGTATATTATATTGAAACACAAGCTTATGGTGGGTTTTTGATTACAGGAGTACATTGCAAAATATACTCTTGTATCATTCGGAAACTAAACATGCCAACAAAAGTGTACGCGATAGTTCTCTTTTAGCCCGGAGCAGACATAATGTGACTGTGGCACAGGATTAGCCCTATTTGAAGGACCTGGGCCTGACAAAAAAAAAATGTTTTGATGATATAAAAAAATAACCAAATAAAAAAGTATATGATCCATCTTATATAAGATCAGAAATAAAAAAAACTGACAGAAAAGTGATAGTTATTCAAGGAGCTGATAAAGGATAGGGAATAGTGATTAAGATACAGAAGATTATGATAAAGAAATGAGCAGGTTACTATTGATTACTTCCACCTATCAAGCGAAATATTTTATGCAAAAAGAGGCTAAATATTTGGTCCTTTCATCCAGCGGAGTCCCTATAATATATTGCCTTCCCAAGATACACAAAGATGATGTGCATCGGCCTGGGAGACCAATCCTGAATGGAGATAGTGTGTTAACTTCACAAATAAGAGATTTTTTTTCTTTTTATATAGCCTTTGGTGGTGAACACAAAACCCTATATAAAAAATACAAAACATGTCATCCAATGTTTACAAAAATGTGAAGATCAGGAAAATGAAATATTGTGTACACCCCATATTTTATCATTATATACCATTACTCCCCATTTAAAGGGACTTGAGGTGATTCATTACTTTGCATTTGCGGATAACAGTTGTCAGTTGCACAATTTCTTTTTATTTTGGAACGTTGATCTTTTTCTTTAAAACACATTTTGTGGTATGAATGATGTGAAACCTTGCACCACATCAGCTGAAATCTGTGTGATCAGATATAATATAAAATTGCGCTGTGTGAATGAAACTACTATATTACTGCTATACTATATACTAATATTTGCACTGAGGTGTATAATATAGCAAGATTAACACATGCGTTTTTTCTATTGTTAATTATTTTCCACATTGTATCACATTGTTTCACAGCTAGTATCAATTGTATCTGATACTTTGCAGTTTCATTCACCCTGCGCGGCTTTAATTATCAATGTTACATTTTTTGGTATAATAGCACTTATTATTTACAAATAACAATGGGAGAAAGTACTCACCTACCTTGGCCAAGCTCTTTATGGCCTGAGGGGCAGGGGATGCCATCTTTGATGGACTTTACACCCTGGGGCTAGTTTTGGGGTCGGTAAATTGATGACATCCTCCACATCTGGAATGGCCAGGAAGACACTCTTACAAAAATATCAAAAGGTATTCAATAATAATGACTTGGGCATACAGCTTTCCTTTGCAGCAAGTAAAGTTTCCATTAAGCCCTTCCAAAGTTTCCATTAAGCCCTATTTATTGCAAAGTTTTGCCACGCGTCCAATCACACTGCGGGCTGGGGGGTGTGGAAACAATGCCATTGAATACAATGCACCGCCACGCCCCAAAACGCAAGGGGAAGTTTCTCAGTGATCGCGATGCTTTCAGTGTGAACAAGGCCTTAGTGTGGAACAATTTTAGAATGTGGTATGTTTGTCTCTTAACTTTAATAGCCTCTTCGGCACTATATTTTTTTTATCAAACGTATATATATATTTTTTTACTGTTCTCTTTTTAAAAACTTTTTTACCTTTTTTTTTATTTCATTTTTGAAAAACTTAAAAAAAACTGTTAAATTTAGTTTTTACGCAAGGGGGCGCTAAGGGGTTAATTTTGTATGTACAGGTGCTTTTGATACTAAGTATTCTGAGGAGATACTGTATTCTTCTTAGAGATACTTTGTAATAGACAACCGGTGTTCTGTCGAAAACTCCAGCTCGTAGAGATCTCCAACAAACTGACTTCCGGTTTAGTTAGAAGTAAGAGGTGTGGCCGAGAAGGCTCTACTGCAGGTGCACCACCTGCAGCATTTCCCTACACACATACTGCACAGCAATAAAGTATTATAATGAACTAGGGTCAGACTAATCCAGCACGTTATTAAAGGAGAACTATGTGGTAAGTGTTTTTCCCCATAGTTCTCCTAAGGGTCACGGGAGGACATAAGCTAGCGTCCTCCCATGACCCAAAGGGAGGGGGGAAATCCCTGCAGGGAGCCGTGGGTGACAGTCACGGCTCTCTGCAGGGACATGATCGAGAAGTGAGCGAGCAACGGTATGTGTTCGCTCACTTCCCGATCTATTGAGCCGACGTGTGACAGTTTCATTGTCACACACCGGCTCGAACTATGATGTGAGTGAAAATCACTCACATCATAGTTCTCCTTTAAGCTGAGTTGTCCCACTTAATATGGCCGCAAGCGGTGGCCATATTGAGTGGGGCAACTCAGCTTAAAAGAGAACTATGGGGTAAGTGTTTTTCCCCATAGTTCTCCTAAGGGTCACGGGAGGACATAAACTAGCATCCCAAAGCTCAGTATTTCGCGAGCTACAGCTCGCTGTATACTAAGACCGCCGCAGCTGGGACGGATCCTGACATTACTGTCGAGATCCACCCAGCTGCGGGATTGACAACTGGCTCTGCCTATCTAGAGGCAGAGCCAGCTGTACCTGCCCCCTCCCCCGCTTTCTGCAGTGAGATGATTGAGAAGTGAGCAAGCAATGGTATGGGTTCGCTCACTTCCCGATCTATTGAGCCGACGTGTGACAGTTTAATCGTCACACGTCGGTTTGAACTATGAGGATGAGTGATTTTTACTCATCTCATAGTTCTCCTTTAATAACGTGCTGGTTTAGTCTGACCCTAGTTCATTATAATACTTTATTGCTGTGTAGGGAAATGCCGCGGGTGGCTCACGTGCATTAGAGCCTTCTCGGCCAAACCTCTTACTTCTAACTAAACCGGAAGTCCGGTCGTTGGAGATCTAGACGAGTTGGAACTTTCGATAGAACACCGTCTTCCAGCTGCACAACACAGTGAATGCTGGCTCGGTGGCTGTCACTGCATGATAATCACAGCGATCAGCTATTGCAGTGATCACTGTGCTGTGACCAACGTATCAGTATCAGGCCTTATCAGCATAAAATAAAATAAACAACTAAAGCCATTGTTTTAGGGCTTGCTCACATAATATCGGTTGAGGTGCATTTTTCTGCTCACAACTGCACATGTATGGTGTGAACAGGGCACATAGAAAAATAGGGATGCGCCAATACCTGTTTTTATAGGCACAACGATGGACTAACATAAACTCGTACCCTTCCTTACTCTTAAAAACCAAAAAGTGTTGGCGGATCTTGTGCTTATTTGTTGTACAATGCTAGAAGGAAAATCAGAATATCAATGCAGACATGTCTTACTCTATGGGAATGTATGCACTGCCACTACCTGTTAACATTTGAACTGGTAACCTAGGAACACAATTCCACCGGCTTCCTGTAAATATTGTACAGGAAAGGTTGTTTACTAAATAAAAGGCATACAGGCATGAACAAAAACACGTCCTCAATCTCTCAGCAAAACTAGAATTTATCAGCGGGCTTCCACTTTCCAATGCCTGTTTTTTTTTTTTTTTTTTATCTGTGATTTATTTTA